CACCATGCCCAGCTAATTTTTTTCTTGTATTTTTTAGTAGAGACGGGGTTTCACTATGTTGGCCAGGATGGTCTCGATCTCTTGACCTTGTGATCCGCCTGCCTTGGCCTCCCAAAGTGCTGGGATTACAGGCGTGAGCCACTGCACCCAGCCCGAAGAAATAAATTTTTAATGTAAATTTAGCATACTGTAAGTGTGCGGTATTTGTAAAGTCTACAGAAGTGTACGGTCATATCCTAGGCCTTCACTTTTACTCACCACTCACTCACTGACTCATCCAGAGCACCTTCCAGTCCTGCAAGCTCCATTCATGGTAAATGCCCTATAATAAGCATACTATTGTTTATCTTTCATACCGTATTTGTCACTGTACCTTTTCTAAGTTATTTTTAGATTTACAGATACCATTTTGTTACAAATGCTTACAGTATTCAGTACAATAATACGCTGTACCAGTTTGTAGTCTAAGAGCAATGGGCCGTGCCACATAGTTAGGGTGTAGTAGGGTGTATACCATATAGCCTAGGACTGTCCCACAGAGCCTAGGGTGTACTTACACATGCCATCCAGGTTTGTTTGAGTACACTCTATGATATTCACACAATGAAATCACCTAACAATGCCTTTTTCAGAACCCTCTCCATTGTTAAGCAGCACAGGACTGTACTGTAATGCTGGTTGCTGCCCTCCAGTTAAGTCAGGAACTGGTCCTGTCTGGGGTATGGATCTATAGTCCCCACCAATAGAGGGTCAGTTTTAGAGATTTTTAACAAGCTGGAAGGTTGACTTTCAAAATGTCTCCAGCTACTTACAGGTCAATTCCAGCATGAGATATATTTTATCTTTCAATCACTAGTAGGTAAATGGGTGCTAGAAATCAGTCACTGGCTTGACTTCCGGCAACAAGGAAAGCCTGAGGTGAATTACAGTTGCAATATCTGTCAGCTCAAGCTGGATAGCGTCATGGGGAGCTGGGATTTCAAAGTATAAAAATTTTTTTAGTATAAGAATAAAAAATTTCCATCCAAAGTATAAGAAAAATCTTTATTTCTTGCCAAATCCCCATTACTTCTTTGGGCAAACACCAGGGCCCTTTCCCTTGTTAAAATAGCCTATTTTAACAAAGGCAAGGTGTAGGGGGTGCACACCAACCCAGACATTCATGAAATCAACTGCTCATCTTGTGTGTTTACACAATAAGCATCTGAAATGGGCTGTGCGACTCCTTGGTTTTGGTTTGCATGAGACTTAGCATCTGTGTGAAACTGCCAGTTGCCTTGGGCAGAGACCTGGCTTAAGGACTGCAGGCCTGAAAATGAAGGGAAGGTAATTTTTTATTATGACAAAAGTAGAGTAAAAGGGTTTTGCTTTGGACATAAGGGCAAAGCAGAACTAAGTGGCAAAAGAACCAAAACACCTCTGCCTACATGGAGACAGTGGTCAGGGAAGTGACCGCTGCAGCTGTGCACAGTTGGGTGTGGGCTACAGGTGGAGTATCGGGGAGACAGTAAATTGAATGGAGTGACGTCCACCCCTGGTGTGGGCTGTGGTGTCCAGAGTCCAGACTCAGCAGCCACTCACTGCCCACATTCTAGTCCCTTTTCTACCACTTACTGCATACCTATGGGCAACCTTCTTAACCTCTCTGTGCCTCACTGTCCCTGTCTATAAAATGTTGGTATTAATAATCTACCTAAGGGATGCAGTGAGGATTAAATGAGTAAAACATATTGAGAAGAGCACTGCACAGAGTAACTACTATATAAAATAAAACAATTATTAATTTGCTTTCCTGCTCTGAGACATGGCCCAACAGTACCTTGTGTCTAGGGCAGGTCAGCAGGGGATAACCTGTACAGCCAGAAAAACTGAAACTACCAGGTTTCTCTGGGGGTGTGTGTTGGGGGGAGCTAAGGGACTGGGTGAAATTAGTGTCTGCTGGAAAGTAGGAAGGGCCAAGGGTTTACTCTGACAGACACAACCTCCTCCCACTCATTTTAGAGGAGCTGCGTCATTCAGGGAAGTGGCAGAGGTAGAAATTGGAGAGAAGGGAGAAATTCATGTCCTACCAGAGGCCAACCAGCTCTGGGTAGAGGCTGATCTCTGCCCCACAGAGTTACTCTTTGACTCTCCACTTCTCAGCCTATGTACTTGTTATTCTTGTTTGCACCCCAGATCAATTATCTCCCTCTTTGCTCTGGGGCAGAGATTCCTGTGGGCGGCATCACCCTGGGTCCCTTACTTCTAGTTTCCTAGTGGGATGCACTGGTATCAGAGGGAGGCATGAGAAGGGGATGGGGTACTTCTGTCTGCTGCCATCGTTCTGGCAGTGGCTGGATCCCTCTGTAACCGCAGCTGCATGGCTCCAGCTACACCATTTCCTCCCATGCCCCTTCAAGCTAGGAGTGGCAGAGGCTCTAGTTCTTGCTGGTATCTGGTGTCTCCCCTTCCCCTCTCCAAACCTCTGTAAATCACCCTTTTATTAAACTCTCCTTCCTGCCAGGTCCCCAGCAGATTGATAACTGCTAGCAACTCGGGGATCTGGAGAGCTGCACTGTATACCTTATTGACTAGACCAGGCGGCACGACATTTTAAGCTAAGCAATGCTTAGTGATGGGGGAAGCACAGACCTGTTCTTTATTAACAAATCGTCTACACTGCAAAAGGAGCCAGTGCTAGGAAGGACTAGCTGGACCTTCCATCTCACATAGCATGAACATTAGCAAGCACCCAGAGTGTCACTGGCATGCCATCCTTCTATCAAGCCAAGACAGTACACTGTTCCCAACATGCTCCATGCTTTCCAGACAAGTCCTTCTGGATACAGCTCTTCCCATCAGGTTTTGGGAATCCTCACCCTGAAGGGGTGGCTTGAATGCCACTTTTTTCATGATCCACCCCAAATCAAAGACACATCTACGCTCGTCTGAACTTCCCTGCAATTATCTTTAGCTGTGCTGCCACTCAGCATGTTCTGCCTTGTGATGGTCTTACTTCCCCTGCTGGATTGTGTTCTTACGAGAAGGACCAGCTGGGCATGGTAGCTCACACCTATAATCCCAGCACTTTGGGAAGCCAAGGCAGGATCATCTGAGGTCAGGAGTTCAAAACTGGTCTGGCCAACATGGTGAAAACCCATCTCTACTAAAATACAAAAATTAGCCAGGCATGATGGCGGGTGCCTGTAATCCCAGCTACTCGGGAGGCTGACACGGGAGAATCGCCGTGATCCGAGATCATGCCACTGCACTCCAGGCTGGGTGGATGAGCGACTCTGTCTCCCCCCACCCCCCAAAAAAAGAGAAGGACCAGGTCTCATTCCCTGTGGGCTCCATAGGTCACCTAGCAGCCTTTTACATAAAAGGTGCTCAGTAAATTGCTGAATGAATGGACAATGACTAAAGAGTGTCTTTGACTTGCTTCAGCTGAGCAAGGTAACCTGCTGTAGATACCAAAGTCTGACTGAGAAGAACCAGCTGGATTTCCCCACCTGCCTCCCACACAGTCTCCCCATCTCCTTTTCCTCCTCTTTGCCCATCTACCCTGAGCTCCCATCAGTTTCATTCTCCCAACACCTCCCTCCTCCTTCGATTAGTCCTCATTCTGACAATGTCTTTGAAGCTCTGGAATCACAGATGGCAGAGAGAAGAGAGCTCAAAGCCCCTCATGTCCAATGCCTGTCTTGCACAAGTGTGGAAAATGATGTTCAGGCTCACCCAGGGTTACCCTGGTACAGGAAGCCCAGTAATGTGGGCAGGGCTTGGCCTTGGTTGGTACCACCCACACACCGGGGCTTTTGTCCTGAAACCTCTCACCTCCCCATGTGCATGTCAAGCCTGCCACTCCTAGTGACTGCACAGTCAGTTTCTCTCTCGCTGGGGCCCAACTGGAGTCATTCCTTGTTTGCTTGGTCCCCTCCCTGGGCTGTCCCTCATCCACCTACTGCCAACCCATTCTCCCAGAGCTGGCCCACTAAAGCTTCATCCATTTCCCCTCCCCGCTGATCTTGCTATCTCTGCACATACTTCAGCACTTTATCTCAGCTTGTCACCTAGTGTCCTTTACTCAATGGTGTGTGTTTACACACACACATCTTAGTCTCTCCAAAGACACTAGGAGACCCTTACAGGAGCCTGCCTTAGCCTGAGAGCTAGGTTGATAACAAGGGCCCAGCTTGCTCTTACACGGATTTGGTGTTGGACCTGAAGCCCTAACCCATCAGCACTGGGCTCTGACGAGGGAAGTCGGCTGGTGTTTCTTCCAGGCGTGCTCCCAGGTACCGGGTGCTAGGCAACCATGAGGGACCTTTCAGGACATGTTCTGCTTCTGACTGGTTGGGTCACCTCTGAGAAGTTGCAAAACCCTGAGTTGATTTCTTCACCCTGGAAAGGTGGGAGCCCTAGCCAAAGGCCTTTCCATACTGGGTGCAGCAATAGGGCTTCTGCCTGTGTTGCTCTACCAGTGACCCAGGAAGCAAGAGCTGTGGCTGAAGGTCTTGCCACCCTCTGGGCACATGTGTGACTTCTCCCGTGTGTGCACAACAAGGCTCCGTCCCTGATTGAAGGCCTTGCCACACATGCCACAGACAAAGGGCTTCTCCTCCATGTGTACCCTCTGGTGACAGCTCAGGCAGGAGCTCTGCATGAAGGCCTTGATACACTAGCCACACCCACACAGCTTTTCCCAGGTGTGGATTCTCTGATGCATGATGAAAGTGGAGCTCTGGCTGAAGGCCTTCCCACACACAGTACCTGCTTAGAGATTCCTGCTGGGGCAGCCAGGCTGGAGTTGTGGCGGACATCCTTTCTGAGTTCCTGGCAGTTCCAGCCTCTCTCCTCTGGAAGACACTTTTCTTTTGCTGGGGCCTGCCCAGTGTCTGGCTTGTCTCTCCTCACCTGCTTGTTTGCAGCCTGTTCTGAATGCCCTGTTCTCCTACTCCCCGCTGTTCATGCATCCAGTCTTCTCTTCCAGAGAATTCTCCTTTCATATTTGTTTTTTCCAGAATCAAATCTTCCTTTTCAGCTTTGGTCTTGATATCTAAACAAGACATAGAAGATAAAAACAAATGTAACAAAAGCAAATAAAAACAGAATCAGCTTTATATTCTGGATAGGAAACATGACAAATGTAGTAGGATTTGAGGGAATTCAGTATATAACACCCTTTTCTTAAGAGGCAATATAGCATTGAGACCAAGGGTGTTGTCTCTGGGGCCAGACTGTCTGAGACCATATCCTGCCTTTGCCATGAACAGTTATGTGACCTTTCTATGCCTCAGTTTCCTACCTATAAAATGGGTTAATACTAGTATCTATGTCATAGTGATGTTGTAAGAATTAAGTAAATCAATGTACATGCTGTGTTTAGGTGTTGGCTATTATTATAATTTCATATTCAATATTTGAACCAACTGAGAAATAAGATGGGGAGACCAACATATCCCTTTTATTACGGAAAGGCTGATACTGGTGAATGTGGCACCCTTTGTTACTGAAAGATTTCATAAATGCAACTGGTAATTAGAGATGGAATAGTTTCATTTATTAAATATTGCATTCATTGAACACTTATTATATGCAAGGTAGATGGGGTTATGAATCCAGGAATTAGGCAGCATTAACTACCCAAAAACAGTGCTGGCTGCCATGGGTTTGCTCCTGAAACACCTGCAGCACACAGGGCCAGGGTCAAATGCATGGTTTCTGTGAAGAGGCCAGAAGGGAGACATGGGAGGAGGACTGGCTTTCCAAAACTCACCAGTCAAATAAAATCCCTTTTTATACTGTGGCAAGAGTGATGATCACAGCAAGGACCCAAGTGTTATACCACATATTGGAGTAATTCACAAAGAGATGTCTGCTAATTGGCTGGGAGGGAAATGGCCTTTCCTAATACATACAAACCCTGTTTGGCAGCCTTGGGAATGGCCAGGCCCTGAAGACTGGGTTCTGAGAGGCACACTCTGCTGACAGTATCAGAGACCCATATTTCTGAGGCATGGAGGTGAAGGCCCAGTGGAAGGTGGCCTTACCTAGGCTGGCTGAGGCCTCTCAATTCAGCCCTAGCAGCATTTCTCTAGCAGTGGCCCTTGGGGCAGGAAACAGATGGGTCCCAGGCAGCAGGTAGCCTTAGAGGGCTGAGGTCAGAGTAAGCTCTGGCCCTACTCTCAGGGTGGCTTTCTCTCAGATCTCATGCTCTTGTCACTAGGCTACTACCGAGACCTGGAAAAAAAAATACTGGAGAAGAGTCCACTGGTGGCCTTGGGAGGGGAAGCTAAAGGAGGTCACAGTGCTGGCCCTACCTTCTCCCACTCCTCTCGCTGGTGGGCAGTGGAAAGAACCCATAATAAGTAAAGGTAAACTTTCTGGGCAGGCCTGGTGTTTAAAGGCAAAAAAGACTGAGAAGTCATCTCCAGGAGGGGGCCCTGGCCCCATGCAGCCCACAGAAGCATCCCTCCCAGACAGCATCCATTCTCTTCTTGGACAATGAGCTCAGCCTGGTTAACAACCACAGCAATGTCAAATGACTGAACCATTTACAGCCCTGTCCCGTCCCAGTCTTCTTTGATGCATACCACCCAATGAAGCTGGCAGGGCAGGAAATGCTGCTTCATTTACCAGGTGAGGACATCGGCTTCTCTGAGGTGACCCAACCAGTCAGAAGCAGAGCAGGTCCTGGTGCTCGGCACTTGGTAGCATCTGGGCAGTTGGACACTGACTGAATAAGAGAGTGTGAAATTAGCCTGGTGCATCTCTCACACCTAAGGCCACGCCTCACCTGGGAACAAAGAATGGCTTATGAGAAAATGAGTTGCAGCTCTACCCTGGCAACCCCTAGTCCTTTCACCACACTCCTCCAGGGCCAGACATATTCCACCTCTTATCTTTGGTTGTGGCCCACCAAGCTAAGATGGGAAATGCTAGCCCTTAGCCCTGGTGGGGGTGTTCCCAAGGCCAGAGCCACCAGCCTGGGGCTGCCCCTCCTTTAGGCTCACAGGACTCATCCTAATCTGTGTGCACTTCACTCTCATTTGAACCCAAGTGATGGAAGAGAGAAAACCCTTGGGTTCTTTGGGTTCAAGTGTCACCTAAGGGGACAGTAAATACTGTTCGCCACAGACCTGGCCCATTCCAGGAGGATCAGGGGTATCTTGGGACCAGGCCCCTGTGAATGCAGTTCATGACCGTGGGGACCTATTGTTTCAAAGGCCTACCTTTGCCCACCAGGAAGGAAGGAAGGAAAGGTGCTCCAGCCCATCCCACCCTCTGGAAGCCACTCTGGCCTCCACAGCTATCTGGGACCAGAGACTATCCATCCTGCTCCTTCCTCGCAGGGCTTGTGTGGGGGTATCAGGAGTGGTCTAGGCCATTGCAGAGACACTTCCAGAGACAACTCCCCATGCCTTCTTCTGGCCCAAGGGGTCACAGAACTATGTAGCTCCTTCCTCAGCACAGTGGCCCCTTAGACTCTATTCTAAACAGATTCTCCCCCCTTGGGACCTGAGTTGTGACTTCACATCTCACCTCCTTCAGACAAGGCCTCTGCTTATTATTTGCTAAGTGTCCATCACAGAACAAGGCTCTGGAAGCACGGCTGAGGCTCATGTGTAAGGCAGTCAGGTGCAAGCATGCCCCAGGTTGCCCTGTGAAAGTAAAAATGTCTTCCAATCAGGTAAGGCTTGGTTTTCTTTTGTCCATGCCTACCCTGTCCTCCAGAAGGCCATAGCAGACCTGTGCAACCAGGCAGCCTTTTAATAGTTACAAAGCCATTTCCTATCCCTCATTTCACTGCAGCCTCATAATGGCAAGAGAGGACTCATGTCAGAGAGCTTAGGGATCTGTCCTGGGTTGGGAGGTGAAGAACAGGGCCAGCCTAGAATGCCCTCTTCCCCACCTGCCCTCAGGAGTATGGTCTGGTTTTTGCCTTGCCCACCTGAGGCCAGAGAAAGCAGTGGACAGCACAAGGGTCCCAGAGGAAGCCACCCTTTTCCTCCCTGGGTCTTCCCTGGACTGGGCTCCTCCTCCAGGCCACCATGTGTGACCCTGACTTCCACTGTGGCTGCCCACCTGCACATCGCTGCTCTTCTCCTTGACCATTCCCAATTCTTCCCCTTCCCCCACCTCTGTAGCTGCAGCCTCCTCCTTCGCCTCCCACATCTCAAGCTCTAGCCCCTCCTTCTCTTTCCTTCCCCAAACACCCCTGGCCTGTCCCTAGCCTCCAGGCTGCAGCCCCCAACCAGCCCCAACCCCACCCCACCCCATCCGAGGATACAGCCCCTTCTGTTCTCCCTTTCTCAGACTGCCCACTCCTCCCTCAGCTCTCCGCTGGGCTCCCCGGAGCCCCTACTTCTGAGTCCAGTGAAGGCAGATGGCCCTGGTACAAGCTTCCTGCCCGACCACTCTAAGAAGTTGGGAGATGTCTTCGTCTACGTGTTTTTCCAGCTTGGTTCCTCCAGCTGGATGCCAGAGGAAAAGGAGCGGGAGGTGGGGCCAAGAACTGACTCAGTACTTATCCACAAATAAATAATTTCAAAGGGACCGATCTCAAAGGACTAGAAATTATGGGAGAACACATCATCTTAAAGAGGGAGGTCCTTGATTTGATATTAAATTTTAAGTACCCAAACAGCAAAATTGAGTAAGACAAACAATAAACCTGGGAAAATATTTGCAACACATGTGGCAGATAAGGATAATTTCTTTATAGTTTGCACAAATGGATTATTAAAAGGCTCAACAGAAAAACTGCTAAAGGACACAAGTAAGCAAGTCACAGAAAAGAAATACACATGGGCTTTTAAATATGAGGTATGATACCCAGTTTCACTCATAATTGAATGCAAATTAAAATATGAGAGCATTTTTCATTTATGAGATCAGAAACAACACAAGAGTTTCACAGAGGCTTCAGGGGAATGGGCATTTTCATACACACATTGGTAACTACATTTCCAATTTCTATCAAAATATCAAATGCACCTACCATTTAATTTCAAGCACAGTGTGCAGGAATATTCAGCACAGTATTATTTGTAATAGCAAAAGGCAGAAAAGAACCTAGAGGCCCACCAACAGGGTACTGTATGAATTATGGTACATTCATACAATGGAGTATCACGAAGCAGTGAAAAAAGGAAATGAGGTAGATCTTACAGGCTGATATAAAGCCATCTCCAAGACACTGAAAAAAGCAAGGTGTAAACTGTGTATCATAAGCTCTCATTTGTGTGTGTGTGTGTGTGTGTGTGTGTTTCTTTAAGTGGGATATTTAAGATTGCAAATGCCGGGACTATCTTGAGGAAAGATCCTCAAGGAATTTAACAATAGCTACCACTGGGGTAGAAGACTGGTTGTGCGGACTGGGAGGGAGTCTTACTCTTTGCATGATTTTGTACCACTGACCTTTTTACTACAGGCAAGCACTGCTCTTTCAATTTAACAAATAACCCTTACACATGGAGAGGAGCCCCTGAGAGTGCATGGAGAAGGTACCTGGGAGAAAGTGGCACAGACTTGTACCTCAGAGGTGTTCTAATCCTGACTGGGACTACTGGGTTTGCAAATGGGGATAAGAGAACTTCCCTCCTCAGGTGAGGATTAATGAGATAAAACACATTTGGCATTTAGTATGGTACCTGGCACACAGGAACCCCTCAACTAACAGCAGTGATGATTACAACCTTGCTATTGGTTCAGTAGAGAGACTTGCCTTGAGGGAACCCTAGTCCTTGGAGGGATAATACCAGAGATCACAGGCATTCTGGAAAACCACACATGGCACAACTGGGGAACCTAGTCAGTGTCAAGGTATCCTGGGATAGCCAAGTAGCCTGCTAGGACTTGGGTTGTCTCCTCCCTTGTCTCCTGCCCTTCCCAGCATGAGAGAGGCATTAGCCACTGTGAAGACAGGGTTGCTCCAGAGACTGCAAGGAAAGCAGTGCCTCTCAGACCTGGGCCTGGCCCCATTCGTCTCTTCATAGGTCTCGCCAGGATATAGAAGCCCAGCCTTCTGGCTTGGGAATTTGCTGCTTGATCTTCTGTGTCCCTTAAGGTCTGCTCATTTTATCTTCGAAACATTACATCTATTCCTTCTCCTCTGGCCTCCTTCTAGCAGCTGGGTCAGAATCCCAGTCTCTCTTAGGCTCTGAAAAAAAAAAAAAGCTGCCAATATGGTCTTCAGGATGCCTTTCTCCCCTCACCAGCTCAGCCTCCACACTCCAGCGAGAACAATGTCACAAACATATATTCCTCTGCTGAACTCCTTCATCTGCTATTTGATCTTGGTAACCATAAAATGCTAACAATGGATAAAAATAAGGACCTTATTTCTCCAGATCCTTATTCTGTTATTCCCTACTACCCATTTCACACTTCACAAGAAAGTCGCATCACTCTGAACAAGCCATGATCTTTCTCTCTCTCCTCCAGATCATAAAAGTAATTCAAGCTCATTGTAGAAAATGCAGACAATGCAGAAAATTTAACTGCAGTTAACCCCCAATTTCTTTCCAGGCTTTTCTATGCATGTACATCTTAGAAAAATGTGCTTTCTGTACAGTGTTTTATTTTGTGCTTTGCATTATTTATTTAATATTACTATGTGCATTTTATCATATCCCTATTCCTTTAATTATGACCTTTAGTGGTTGCACAATATTCCATAGTATTATAACTTAATCATTCCCCTATTGTTACTTAGGTTAGTCACTTATTTTTTTGTGAAATAATATCGACATGTATATAAATCATTGTACAAATATTCATTCTTAAGATAGCTTTCTAAAACTGGTACTGCTGTATCAAAGGATAACAACATTCTTTTAAAAATGGTTTAACCTTCCCCTAAAATAATAACAGATAAAAATGGTTAAAATGTGTAACAATGAGATAAAAGGAATAAATTTCTAGAAGATGGAAAATGAATGATGTGGTAACTAAGAAAGCTGGGAAGAGGGGGTAACAGCTTGGAACTCTTGCTGAGGGCTACCCAATGGAAGAAGTCACTGATCCACCCAGCCCAACCCCAGAGACTTGGAATTTCGAAACCCCAGGTACAATGAAGGATAGGAGGCAGAAGTGGAGCTAAAAATAAGAGCATTAACTGGAAGTCTGTAATAACACTCGACTGCTTTCCCTCCCATTTCCAGAAAACCATTTAACAGCATCTAAACCCCAGACAAAAATATCAGAGGATTTTTGCTAATTAAATATAAGAGCCCAAGGCAAAAGATTCTGTATTCTGGCATTTAGGGGTCTCCAGGGAAATAGTGGGCAAATCTCACTCCTATATACAGAGGTCTCAATTAGGCTTTTAATTCACAGACACACTCACGAGCACACACATGTATATAGGTGTGTGTCAGTAAGAATCACAACACTTTTGAGGAAAGTCTCTAATAAGACTAAACAAGGTAAATAGAAGGAAAAAAGGACCAGTGGCAGGGTCATGAAGGGAATAAGGTAATTCATGTAACAGAAGACACTTTTAAGAAAAGGCTCTTAGAAATTAAACTAGTTGCTGTTAAAATTATTATGATTATTTTCTATAATTCCTGAGAAAATAACCTTATTCATGTAACTGAAGACACTTTAATTATTCGTTAGAAAATAATCAAGGTACTCTTCCCATAGTGGCAGGAGATAAAGAAATGGAAATAAAGAATGCGGCTAAGGATCAATCTACAAGGTCCAACATTTGATTAGCTGGAACTACATAAAGAGTAAAAACAGAAGGAAAAAAAAAAAACATGGAAACGGGGAATAGTCATATAAATAATGAGAAAATTTCCAAGAGTAGGAGTACCTGAGTCTCTAGATTGAAAAATTCCACTGATGATTAGGAAATTGAATACATCAAAGATAAAGAAGAGACTTTAAAAGCTTCCAGGCATAGGAGTGGGAAAACAGGTCACTGTAATGTAAATACTATTTATTGATTGTCAAATAAATAATAATCAGATTGGAATCAGGCATCTCATTAGCAGCAGTAGATGCTGTAGGCCGGTGAAACGATGGCTACAAAATTCTAGGGAAATTTTTCAACCTAGAATTCCAGAGCCAGTCAAACTACCAATCAAGTGTGAGATCAGAGAAGGATGTATAAACACTCAACAACTTTGCCTTCCATCTGCTGTTTCCTGACAGGAGACTTAACATGTGCTATAGCAAAATGATGAAATAAACAAAGAAAGAGGGAGACAAAAAATTCAGAAAACAGTTGAGTCCAGTGTAACAACAGAACAACAGGCAGAAAGGGCATCAAAGACAGACTAGAGCAGGAGGCCGAAAGCAGACTATACAGAGAGAAAAGGGAACTCAACAGAATACTTAATTGGATGGAAAATTTGAAAATGACTGACAGTGTGCTGAAAGCAACCAGTACAAGGTGAAAAGAAAGGCAACTAGAAACTTCAGTTAAAAAAAAGCTGATCCCAAAAGGAAATATAAACACTGTAAGCTAAGATCTGCAGTCAACAATATTCACATGGTCATAATACTGTTCATGCTGTTTACTTTCAACTTTTGAAATAAATCAATAAACAAAACTTAAAATCCTAACTGGTTACAGAATAGAATTTAAGAATTATCAGACTTGAAAATGAAAGAGACAACGATGTGGAAAACAGAAGGAGAAAGAAAGGGAAGGGTTCCCCCATATTACAAAATGGGGAATTGAGATATGGTTTATGGTTAATATAATTTATTTTTTAATAAAATTCTTGCTCTTCATAGAAATACAGAAATTACTAAAAAAGAAACCCTTTTAATAACCCATAATCCTATTATCCAGAGTATAGTGGTTTGAATCTAAGCCTGTAATTAGCCATCTGTATGGCTGTAAGTCATTTAACCACTTATATTTTCTTATTTCCTTTGGGTAATTTATCTATATACTTCTTAATAGTATATAGTATATATCACTGCAATAGTATATGAGAACTGTATTATACACACAATTTTTAATCCAAAATTTTCATTTTAAAGTAAAAAAGTAAATCTCTGGATACACAGCGTGTACACTTGTATACATGTATTAATAAACATACTTCTGAATACGCCTTTGGCCATAAGGTAGTCAGGGGTTTCCCAGAGATGGAACTTGAACCAAATATTACAAGAAACTTAAGCTTGCAAAAGTAGAAGGGGATTGAGTGGGAAGTAGTGATGAGGTATTACAGGAACTAAGAAAAGTGTGAGCAAAGGCACAGAGAAGACCAAGCACGTGCCTCTAGGCCTCAGTAAAAGGTACCTGAAAGTGAAGAGATGAGCCTGGAAAGAGATTAAGAGCTCAGTAAATCATGTTAGAAATCCTGGTATTTTTCCCACAACAGACATAACAGGGCAGGGCAGACCACGTTTGCTTTGGCACTCCAGAATCTCGCATGATGTTCACCACAAAGTAAACACAAAATACTTTTCTAATCAATGAGTGATGCTCAGGAAGGCAGAAATGCCTTTTGGGTATTCTATCTGGGTGCCCTAGGTAGCGGGGAGAATGTCATTTGATGAGGGAAGGAATCCAAGAGAAAAACAAATTTTAAAGGTTATCTGTCTGGGCAATACTCTTAAGAGATTATATCCTAACCTCATTAAAAAAAAAAGTCACTGGTGATCATGTAATGTATCCCCAGATTAGACTTAAGGCCCTAGATTTATGTATTGGCTTCAGAGAGCCTGCATGACCCCCAAGCAAGCACGACTTGATGTGCAACATACATTTCTTGGGGGAAGGGGATCCACAATCTCCACTGGATTCCCAAAGGGGCTGCAACCCCAGAAAGGTTGCAGTGCGTACACTGGATGAGCAAGTGGATAGGTGACAGATGTGGGAGAAGGACCACTACCTAAGGAAGGGGATCCAGGGCAGATGAAGAATTAGCTTTGTCCAAAGACACCTCTTCATAAGCCTGGAGGAATTTATGGCTGTGTTTGAGTCTGTAACTTTGTGTGTGTTAGGAATTGAAGCCTTTCTCCTGCACTCCCAGAGTACTGTACATGATTTCACCATCAGTTTTGCATCACTGTGTTCCACTTAATACATATCTGTTGGTCTCATTTGAGGATGAGGACAGACTTTTCTGGCTCTACTCTTAATGACAATCACTAGGCCTGGAACAGAGCTCTTTTCTAGACAGCTAAGTCTGACAGCTCTCAGCAACTTGGGAAAATGGGGCTTCAGAGTTCCCAACCACTTCTAGCAAGACTACCCAAAAGAGATGGGAGATGAGCCCAACGAATAGGAACCTAAGCAAACTGACAAAAGGTAGTCACTCCTCCCTTATTGTAAATCATAAAGAAAATGGCAGGCTGCAATTTATTCTGAATTAAGATGGAGAGATATTAGCTGGGGAAGGATAATTCCAATTTATTTGGAATTAAGATGGAGAGATATTAGCTGGGGAAGGATCCGATCTGTCTAGTAATCAATCCACTTGGCTCACATGATTTGCGCAGAATCAGAGGCCCTGAACCTGGATGCAGGTTTGTGGAAACTCAGACCTAGAGATGAAATCCAAGTAGAAATGTAAAAAGTCATAATACGTACCAAAAGTATGTTGTGTAAAACTCGGTTTGCTCATATAAATAAAATGTTTGGTATATTCACTTAAATACAAATAAGTGGCAGAATCCTCTAACATCCAACGGTTGGCAAAGGCACTGATGGACACCTAGTCCAGTCAGTGTAAAGTTAAGTGTCCTATTTTGCTGAAAATACATAGAATGCTTTGCACATACAGATCTTTACACTGGAGCACCCCCACCCCCTCCACATTTGATCACACACATTCTTGGCCTGCAGCCTTTACTTTTTGCTACAGTGGTTCATAACCTTTGCTGTACATTGTAATCCCCTCCAGAGTTTTAAAAAATACTGAGGTCTAGAAATGTAAATTTTAAAAAAGGGTCCAAGGTGATTTTAACGTGAAGCCAATGTTTAAAACTACTACTTTACTGCAAGGTTGGGTCAGTGAATCTCAAACCTAGTTTTGCATCATAATCTACTGGGTAGCTTTTCTGAACTACCTATGAATGAAAATCACAATCATCTATAATTGAGTATTCAATTATGAGGATAAACATATGTGATACTAGAATGGTTTAACTGTCTTAATGGTCATAAATCCCAGCTGTTATTCTTTCAGCAAAGTAGCTTTGGTCTCTTGGTGGGTCAAGGTCACAGTTATCTCAAATCTTCAGACGTGCTCTCCTGCTATTCTCAGCTTCCTGATAAGTCTGGGGAAAAAAATTAACTTGTTCCTACTCTCAGCAGAGACACATTGCGTTATCTTTGGGTCTCTCCATTCCGTCAGGGAGACTGGAACAGTCACTGTTAGGATTGGTTAGGGCATGAGTATTTGATCCTACTTTGAATCTTTTTGACTTCCTGTATTTCTGTCTCTATGATTTAGAGTGAAACTGGGAAAATAAGTTGTATATGTTTTGACAAAAAAACTAGAGGGAGGAGGAAAAAGAGGAAATTAATAAGCTTTCTTGTGTATGTCTTCTGTATGTGAAAGTGCACTGTAAGCCAGGCGTGCTGGCTCACACCTGTAATCCTGGCACTCTGGGAGGCCAAGGCAGGTGGATCACCTGAGGTCAGGAGTTCAAGACCAGACTGGCCAACATACTACAACCTCGTCTCTACTAAAAATACAAAAAAATTAGCCAGGTGTGGTGGCACACACCTGCAGTCCCAGCTGCTCCAGAGACTGAGGCAGAAGAATTACTTGAACCTGGAAGGCAGAGGTTGCGGTGAGCCAAGATCATGCCATTGCACTCCAGCATAAGTAACAGAGCAAGACTCCAACTTAAAAAAAAAAAAAAAAAGTTCTCTGTAAACTAGAAAACACTATGTGATTAATATTTGGTCTTGTAGAAATGTGATAATGAATGCATGGGACTTCTGCATGAGAGCTGCATCAGGCTCAGCATTTATGATAAATGCTCTTGCATGCCCTAAGGCATTGGAACAGGGATAGGGCCAGAAATCAGGAGACCCAAATTCTAGTCTTAGGTTTGCTGCTCTCTGGTCACAGTGCCTAAAGCACACCCCAAAATCTCTCACATTAGCATCCTCACTTGAAAAGTGAGACTACATACTTTGTCTCCCCCACAGGTCTGCATGGGAATTACAGGTGTTTAGGTAAGTAGTGAGTCAGAACAGCGAGCCAGGATTCAGGTCCTGGACTTGGATATAAGGCTGTCACTTGTTACTCGGCCTTGCACTAAATTACCATTCTCAGGTAAACGGGCAACCACCTCTTTCAGTGTTGTAAGGACCAAGGTAGTGATCTATGTCAAAGTGTGCGACACGTGCCAGGTATCACGATCAATACATGAGGGTACACATACAACAAGGAATACAAGTTCTATATAAATACAAGACAATATTATTACATAACTCTACCTATTGCATAGTTTTATAAATCATTTTTCCAGGAGTAAAGGCTCAATGGTAACAAAGATATCTTACCTTAGCCAGTTTCTTCATCCTTCTAAAAGTTTTCATATTCCAGTTCCTCTGAACTTCCCAAAAAAACAAATTAAGACCTTAGGAATCTTACTTCCACCTCCCCTCTCCCTTCACTTTCCCTCTTTTGTCCTCTCAGAATGAGAAGAACTCTACCATTTCTTCTAAACACCATCCAGAATGTGAGAATGAAACCTAAACTGAGACCCCTGGCTGGAGTTGAGCAGAATGACAGCAGAGACAACTGGGGCATGCCTCTAGGCAAGCTTTATTCTTTGACTCCTTTATCCAGGAAGGGGGCTGTTAGTTGCATCTCACCCAAATGGAATGCAATGGGAATTAGGGGTTTGAGTAGTTTGGAGAAGGAGCTGTCGATCTTAGCAAACATATAGCTGGTGTGTGGTGTCCATCAATCCTTGAGTGCTTGGCCATGCAGACTAGGAAGTGGTCAGAACAGACTCAGAGGTCCCCAGAGCTTTACAATACCAAGGTTCAGGAGGTATAGACAGTAAGGAAAAAGGCCATTTCCTTTTTCTGTCCATTTTAGGTACAGTAGACAGTTTTTTTTTTTTTTTTTTTACTGGCTTTTAAAAAATTACCTAGGAAATGGAAAGCTTATAAACGTTCATAAATGAATTGTTGAATTGCTACCCCAAGTAGTTTCCTTACCTAGTCACCACTTAACCAGAAATACCAGAATACATGGTTCAACCAGAATTCAAACAGGCAAATAACCTGCCTGTTGCTCAAGCAACGATCAAAGTTTTAAAAAACAAAATTAAGCAAAAAAGACCTTCCCCAAACAGCATCATTACCACTTAGCTGTGTATGACCCATTCCTAAGAAAGCCACATTCCATTTCAGAAAATATGACCGCTTAAGGTACAGTTTAAACAAAGTCCTTGCCTTTAGGTGCTTACTTTCGTTTTCTTTAAATTAGCCTCTGAAATGCTTATCTTGTATTTTGTGCTGCATTCCTGAAAACTGTAACTTTTAAGGATATAGGCCTCGCTTTTCTAAAGGAGGAAGAAACAGCAGAGGTGTCTCATTTGGGATGCAGAACGTTATGACCAATGCTGGAGGTCTTCCTCTTTCTTCCTTGTTATTCAACAAGATGGGTTCTGTGGTGTCGCATGAGGTGTGAGTTAGAAATGAAAGCTGCACCACACTTCTCACATTCGTAGGGCTTCTCCCCCGTGTGGGTTCTCTGGTGCACAGTGAGGCTTGACCTCTGTCTGAAGGCCTTCCCACACTCATTACATGTGTAAGGTTTTTCTCCATTATGGATTCTCTGATGAATAAGTAGGTATGAGCTACATGTGAAGGCCTTCCCACATTCATTACACACGTAAGGAAGATCTCCACTGTGAATTCTCTGGTGGACAATAAGGCAAGAGAGCTGACTAAAGGCTTTCCCACATTCGCTGCAGTCATAAGGTTTCTCTGCAGTGTGAATTCTCTGGTGCACAATAAGGTGTGAAAAACAACTAAAGGCTTTCCCACACTCTTTACACTCATATGGCTTCTCACCAGTATGGCTTCGCTGATGTACAATAAGGTTTGCACTCTGGGTAAAGGCTTTGCCACAATCATTACAGGCAAAGGGCTTCTCTCCAGTGTGGATCCTCTGGTGGACAATGAGGTTTGAGCTCCTAGTAAATGTTTTCCCACACTCATTACATTCATAGCATTTTTCTGTAATGTGGACTTTCTGGTGCCGAGTAAGTTGTGAGCTATAACTAAAGGCTTTCTCACATTCACTGCACTTAAAAGTTTTTTCTAAGGAGTGGATTTTTTGATGTACAGTCAGATTTGAACTCTGAGTAAAGGCTTTTCCACATTTTGAGCAAACATAAGGTTTCTGTCCAGTGTGGATTCTCTGATGCACAACAAGATTTGCACTCTGAATGAAGGCTTTCCCACACTCATGACATTCAAAGGGTTTCTCCCCAGTGTGGATTCGCTGATGTACAACGAGGTTTGCACTCTGACTAAATCCTTTCCCACACACGCTACACGTAAAAGGCTTTTGCCCAAGCTGGGTTTTTGGATTTTTAACAGTTCCAGAATTAAGGCTGTATTTTGCCCCAGATTTCTTACATTTCTGATCTTCCTCTTCTTTGAAGCTTTTAGGTAAGTGACAGTCATTCACTATCACTTGTCTGAAATCTTTCTTTTCTCTCTTTATTCTCTGTCTCTTTAACATGCTTCCTTTTTCACAAGCTTCTCCTAACTCAGGTCCCTGAGGATCAGCTTTCTGGATTCTTCCTGATATCATGAGGGGTTTTTCAGCTTCCTCACATATCTCAGTTTTTGGAACCATTAACTGTAGGTTCTTGGTTTCAGCACCTGAACCAAGAAACAGAAAATACAAACGTTAGCTTTCTCTGGCCTAGAAAAAGAATAGGATCATCAAGTCATAAAAGGAAGCATGTGATTTCAGCACCTCCAGAAAATGGCTTCATCACATCAAAAAATTCCATCACATGTTACCTGTCCTCTGTGGGTTCTTCAGCTGGGGCTGTGCCTGCCCCGCTACCTACAGGAGAATCCACTGTCTCATGGTCTTTCCAGCACTTCCACTTACCTTCATTAGATGCTTAACCCCACTGCCTCATGCCAGGGAGGCCCAATTTCCAGACAGCATTCCTCCTGGCTGTCTGATGACTGATCTTACAATGAAGACCAGTTATGAAGGACACCAGCCTCTCCCTAGGTTTGCCTTCTTACATTACCTTAGTGTGGATTTGCTTACAACCTACCAGTTAATTAGGGAGGCTTGCTACCTGTAAGCAGAAAGATCTGGCAACTGAGGCTTCTGTGTCGAGGATGCTGGATATCAAAGAAAGGATAAGCATGGACAGAAAGGGTCACACTGGCTACCAAGACAGCCACAGCAGCCAAAAGCATACAAAACACTGCAAGGCCATGAAGCATACAGGTTAAGAACATGGATTCTAGAGCCAGACTGCCTGGTTTCAAATCTCTGCTCTGACACTAACTAGCTGCATGACTTTGGGCAACTTAACTCCTGTGTGTCTCAGTTTCCCGATCTCCCAATCAGGGATACTAACAGTATCTATCTCGTAAGGCCGTGAGTAGATTAATGGAGTTACTCTATGTCAACTACTTAGACATTGCCTGGAACACAGTGCTCTGAATGTGTGCAGCGACTTTCAGGCTGACCGATGATGCTGTGATGGGCGAGAAGGAAAGATGAACCCTTAGGCGAGGGGAGTTGCTGTGGTGACAGACAGCTACACTAGGAGAATTAAAAAAATAAACCATACATAGCAAACTCTTACCCTTGTGTCATGGAAATAGCTTAGCACTGTGTCAAGGAAAGCTGACCTTGCTGAGTTATTGCATAGCCTGGTCCACGATGCCAGAAAATACCAGGAGAACATCAAAACACCCTGAAGCTTTATGACACTGATTAGTCTCTGGATGCTTTCCATTGCTTCAGCATAATGGTGTCAAAAAGGAGTCCTTCTATCAGTAACACTGTAGTAGTACTTTATGTTTGTCTCCTCTCTACCCTCACCATCCTTGACCTTGAAATGTGCACCCATGTAACCCAGGTTTGGCACAGTGAACCCTTAACAAGTGTCTGTCAATTAAACCAAGCTCAGGAAATAAGGCAAGTGAAATAAAGGGTAACAGGGATGAGTAGCAAGCCTGTAGAGGAGGGAAGTATTCCTACTGGTGATGTCAGCTCAGAAATGAGCAGTGGTGCTGTGAGCTTCAGGTTATAACTGCTGCAACTGCACAGGGGAGAGTCTAGCACCCATGAGAGGGAAATATCCTACAGGATGACCATCTAACCAGTGATATGAGTGGTGGGTGGGACAAGGATGTTGGGTGGTACAAAGCAATACTGGAGGCAGGAAAACAGCCTGGTTTGATTGCCTGGTTAGGACTATGGTAATCAGAAATTCTATCACAATCATTCAGACAAGATGAGCAGTGTCAGAGAAAAGAAACACCCAAGTGGTGGATATAATAGAGCCCCAACTATGACAATAAAAATCTGAAATGCTGGCCGGGAGTGGCGGCTCATGCCTGTAATCCCTGTGGGAGACTGAGGAGGGCAGATCACCTGAGGTTGGGAGTTTGAGACCAGCCTGGCCAACATAGTGAAACCTCGTCTATACTAAAAATACAAAATTAGCCAGGTGTGGTGGCACATGCGTGTAGTTCCAGCTACCTGGGAAGCTGAGACAGGAGAACTGTTGAACCCAGGGGGCAGAGGCTGCAGTGAGCTGAGATCGTGCCACTGTACTCCAGCCTGGGCGACACAGAACAAGACTGTCTCAAAAAGAAACATCTGAAATGCTATACTTCTTCTGGTTACTTCTATTCCTACTGTTCTGATTAGCCTCTTTTAAAAAACGTACCATTTTTCTCTCTGTAGTTTACTTGCTCTTATATCTTCTGCTTTTTTTTTTCCTGTTACCTCTACCTACTACTGCCTCTTCATCTCTCTCCTCTCCTGTTTTTGTAATTTTTGTGCGTGAAATATTTTGAATTTTTCCATATAGTTTCATGTCTCTTCTCTTTTTCTTTTGCTGACTGCTCTGTTCTCTTGATGCTCTCTACTATTCTTTATTACCTACATCCCACTTTATTCTTCTCCCATCTAAAGTCTCCTTCCTTGCTTCTTTTCACTTCCTCTTTTGCTTTAACTCCCCCATCACTGATACCTGGGCCTCCCATCCCCCAACTGGGCATCTCTCCAAGAGAAAGAGAGCCCATGAAAACTTTAGTTCACAGCTGTACTGTCTCCCAGACCTTCACTCCTACCCTCCTTCCTGGGAGATTTAGAATGTTAGGCATAAAAAATGAAGATCAATGGGAATTACTAAATGGATTAGAGCCAATCGTGGAAACAATTCCTTCTATCTGAATAATCTTATGTCAAAACCATTACAAAACCAGGTGCAACTGTAGCCTAGAAGGTTTTCATGCAAGTGATTCATCACTGAGTAAAGTTAAGACCTAGGGTCTTGGCAAGTGCCCAGAGTCTAAGAAAAGAGAATTAGGGTCTATCTGGTGTAGACAAGTTCAAATCTCCTTGGGTGAAAAGATTAATCGGCAAATAATCTGAGCATATAACTTTGGCTTATTTGAAATGGTATTTTTCCTTTTTTTAAATCATGTAGGATTACATGTAGCTCTAGAGAAATTAAGTAAGTACAGAAATAATGAAAAACTAAACCAAAAACTAATTTGTGACCAACTAGAACATAGGTATAGCCATAGTTTTGAAATCAATACTTTTCTTTCACTCTTTTTAAAAAGAGACCTGAAATGCTACATGAGCCTGACATTTTAGCTGGTGACTATATTCTGAGGTAAAAAGGGTAATTTGATGTACTAAATTTATAAGTCCAATTCATTAGATTTATAAAAGCTGTGTGTTTATCAAAATTTTACTTACATGATTTGTAAGTATGCCCAGTTAGGTGTTTGGAATGTTTTAAAGAACTAAAGATATAAAATTTGTAATTATGTTTTATATAAAGAAATGTGATAAGCAGGTAGAATTAAATGTTTAAATATTTTATTTATTTTTTTAGATGGAGCCTCACTCTGTTGCCCAGGCTGGAGTACACTGGTGCAATCTCGGCTTTCTGCAACCTCTGCCTCTTGGGTTCAAGTGATTCTACTGCTTCAGCTTCCAGAGTAGCTGGGACTACAGGTGCGCACCACCACGGCCGGCTAATTTCTGTATTTTTAGTAGAGAAAGGGTTTCACCATGTTGGGCAGACTGGTCTCCGATTCCTGACATCAGGTGATCAGCCTGCCCCGGCTTCCCAAAGTACTGGATTTACAGGCGTGAGCCACTGTGCCTGGCTGAAATGTTTTAAAAAATTAAATCTGTAAAATTTGAAGCTTAACTGAACATGAATTAAAGAAAAAATACAAATATCCCAGCTACTCGGGAGGCTGAGGCAGAAAAATCACTTAAGCCCGGGAGGTGGAGGTTGTGGTGAGTCAAGATCACGCCATTGCACTCCAGCCTCAGCAAGAAGAGCAACAGGAGCAAAACTCCATCTCAAAAAAAAAAAAAAAAAGGTTCTCACTTTTATACAAATATTTCTAGATGTATGGATGAAGTAAAAAAATATGCCTAATAGCTTAAAAATTGGTTTTTAAATGAATAAACTTTAATAAATTCAATGTTAGTTAAAATATGGATACTGCAGTTAAAACTTGCTCAGATACTAAAAACCCAGTAACATCACAATTTCCAAAGTACTTTCATGTATATTATACAATTTCATTATGAAGATGAAACTGTTCTTCTTCAGTTGTGTGGGAGCTAAAAAATGGGTAAGGTTGTGTCTTGACTCATTTCTGTATCTCCAGCACCTATCACACTGCCTGGCACATAGGAAGGAGGGTGCCAACAAATCCTATACTTAATGAATACACACAATTTGTAGAAAAGGAAATGAAGGTCCAGAGAGAGAAGGGACTTACTCAAGGTCACAGAGTTACTACAGGTAGGGCAGCAACCCCACTAAGATGTCTCTCACACGTGGAGCTCAGTGTTCCTGCCATCGCCTACTGCCATCACCATGGAAATAGTGTTGGCAGTGTTCCTGCCATCGCTATGGAAATAGCTGGCAGCACAAAATGGTAAGTCGTGGGTATGAACTCGGTCTTGAGGTAAGAGGCAAAGTAGAAAAAGGGAGGCCATCCCTGATGATGTCGAGCTGTTGAGGTTAAGACTATGAATGGCTGATAAAGCAAAGAGACAGAAAGTAAGTGACACACAGGGGAATGCACCAGAGAGACTGGAACAGAAAGCAGAAGGTGGGGTACAGAAGTTGCTGAGAGTCTGGGAATAATTAAAGACGAGACAAGAAAATCTAGGCAGAGATCCTAGTCTTCCCCATAGGACTGGTTTAAGAAAGTGACTTGGTCCCCAGATGCCTGAGGAACTGGCTAGGGAGGAGAGTGGGTTCAAAGTATTCAATCTCTGGCAGACTCATAAAAAGAATATGGCTTGGCAGTCATCTGATAAGTGCTTTGAAACACAGGACTCATGGCTACTGCATTCTTGACCCTCACTTACATGTCACTCCTCCATAGGCAAGCTTCTGCCACTGCCACTGAGATATTTAGGACATAATACACTTTCCCCGAGTCCTAAGTTAGAAAGAACAAGGTGATAAGCCATCAGTAGCCTCCATGAAGACCTAGTTTTGAACGTCATTATGGTTGTCATAGCTGCTCAAAATCCCCTATAATTTGCACAAAGATCTATGAAAACAGAACATCTCCAGGGCATTTACTCAAAATCACCACAAAAGTTGACTGTTCCTACCTTAGCTAGCTTCTCTTGCAGCCTCACCAACCTATGCTAACTACAAAGCATATAAAGAGGACATGTGACTACATGTGTGCACAGAGATGAAACTCACTGAACAATAAATCTCACTAAAAAGTGAATCTGGAATTCACCTATTGTATGGTAAATACATAATAGCAATAACTTAAGCATACCCTGAGAATAAGCCTGTATGGCACACACACCTGAATGCAGTTTGGAATTCAAGCAAAGGATTCTAGAAGTGGCCAACCTGGAGATCCATTCCTTATCCATTCCTCACCCCTTTCAGTGGAATGTGAGCCCTCCAGGGGATTGAGGCCCTTTGTTTTGAGCTAAATTAAGGCTACCAGGTGGAGGTCATTAGGGGGAGCGTGTTAAGTGAAAATGCTAGATAAACTGCATGCCTTTTGTAAGTGGTTGCAGTTCTCTTGACCAGCCTGTGCCGCTGGGCCATGTGGTTCTCCTATGTCCAGCGAGCTGCCATTAGACTCTCTACCCTGTACATAAACGTCTAGCAAAATTGCATGTCTTGTTTGCTGGCTCTGGGTCTCTTCTTCAGCCTCTTGAACATGGTGCCATATTGGTGTTGATAAGGTTTCAGCATAACACCTATGTTTGTCTAGTATCTTGAGCCTGTGTGCAAAATAAGCCACTTCCCATAACAAAGGCACAGGCATTTCATCATTCTCCTACCCAGCTTTCCTTGACACTTTCAACACCTCAGTACTCTGTTGCCCAACCTTGGAGACTGGATGCACACCATAGTCTCTGAAAAGATTCTGAGAAACCCCAAAGGCCAGATTCTGAATCAGAGAATTGAACCATACCTAGAAAGCTCATGGTCCCATGAGTCTCCTGCATCTCACTCTTGGCCAAAGTCCCCGGTAATGAGTAGCTGCCAAGGGGTGAAGCAGCAGGTGCCTCCTGAGTTGCTTTCAGGACTACCGCCATGTCCCAGAATATGTTCTGACCCTAGAGACAAGCAGGCACATGTTTAAGAGGGAACTGGTGGTAGGGGGTAGTATGATTAAAGTTTTGAGAATGTGAACATAATTATCTATTCCTGGAGTCCATAAAGCAATTTTTTAAAAACAGAAAAGGAAGCCAGGGTCTCCCCCAACCTCCACGGTAAGCTGGGCAGAGAAGCAAGCCAGCTACTCTCTTCCTTATCATTTTGATCACACCTCACTGCTTGCTCCAGAATCTAAGCCTAGCTTGCCAGTGAGTATATGATAGGAGGGGAGAGCACGTGGGGAGAATTTTCAGAGTGAACTTTTGTGGGATCTAAAGATCAAAGCAGCAAGGTTTTAATGATATTATTACAGAAAGGCTCTGGGGCACCTCTGCCCTCATCTGACTAGTAATGGTAAGTGGTGCGTTTGAAACATTAAGGACAGCACAGTGTACAGCCTCATGACTCAAAGTGTGGTCTGAAGCTCAGCAGCAGTAACTGCATCACCTGGAAGCTTGCCAAAAAATGCAGAATCTCAGACCATCACCTAGATGTCCTCAATCAGAATCTCAATTTTAACTATTTAAACAAGAGCCCCTAGGTGATTTTTATGCACATTAAAGTTTTAGAAGCTCTGGTTAGCATTGTCAAAACCTGACTGAAATCACCTGAAAAGTTTTAAAAAATATGGATAACACAGGTCCCACCCCCAGATTCTTTTTTTTTTTTTTTTTTTGAGGCAGGGTCTCACTCTGTTGCCCAGGCTGGAGTAAAGTGGCATGAATGTGGCTCACCGCAACCTATGCCTCCTGGGCTCAATCAGTCCTCCAACCTCAGCCTCCTAAGTAGCAGAGACTACAAGCACATGCCATCATTCCAAGCTGATTTTTTTTTATATCTGCATTGCAAAACACAAGGTTCTGCAATGTTGCCCGCGCTGGTCTTGAACTCCTGAGCTCAAGTGATCCTCCCGCGTTGGCCTCCCAAAGTGCTGGGATTACAGGTGTGAGCCACTGTGCCTGGCCTGATTCTGATTTAATGGGAACAGAGTTTGGCATGGATATCAAGATTTTATTAAAGCTCTCCAGGTACTGTGTAGCAAAATTTGAGAACCCCTGGGTTATAAAAAGTACTGAATGTCACATCAATCAGAAGGGCAATTTCTATCCTATTACAAAAGACTGGAAGCCAGAATCGCACCCAAGAAATAAGACCTCCATGTGTGGAAGTAGAGTGGCGGAGTCCCCTCTTAAAACTACTTGAGGTCTTCAGATCTCTCCTCCCCTCTTCCTCCCAGGCCCCCATTTACCTTTGCTTCCTCTTCTGAACCATCAAGTCCTGTTTGAAGACCCTCCCCTGGGGCCCGGACTTCGATGTTCTCAGAGTGCACTTGTTGGCTGCATGCCTGACCTGGGAAGTTTTCTTCTTCCTCCTCCTCCTTTTTCACCTTCACTGGGCCCCATGGGGGTACGGCCATGGCTTCTCTCAATTCTGCAGTCATCTTCTCTGCTCAGCAGGGGAATTCCTGGAGCTGGGAGCTGCCCAGCTGAGGCCAAACCCCATCTAAGCTTTATGTTTCAAAAGCTTCTTCCTGAATGTCTTCCCGGGGCCAAGGTGAGTGTTGTCTACTGAGAAATCAGAAAACATTGTTAGCACCAAGGAGAGATTTGCCTGGATGCCACTTAGCACACCGGCAAATTTCACCAGTGCCTGGCCAGGGACCACTGCAGGACATGGAATCCTCTATTCCTCCCTCATAGGATGAAGGAGTTGGACTGTAAATATGTAATTTCTTCCCATAATAACCACATTGCAAACAGCCTTATATAATGTTTATTGATTTTTTTCCTGATTAAGTTAACATACTTTTATTGTAAAATCTTAAAAAATGCAGAAAATGATTTAAAAAAAGAATCTCAGTCTACCTCCAAAGAGATAACCACTACACATTTTAAGATTTAAGATATTTCTTTCAAAGGAAAATCTCCAACCATACTACCAATAATTATGATTTTATAAATTCTTGTTTTTGACTATGGGGATACATATTTTCACAATTATCGTAACATTTTTAAAACAGGATTTTACAACAAAAAGATTTTTTATTGCCAAGGACACAAAATAATGTGAACAAAACGATCCCAAGAAGACTGGGAGTCTTTATACCAACATGTTAGGAGTGGGTAGTTATCTCTGGGTGGTGTAATTACAGGTAGTTTTAAGGTTCTTTTCATTTTCTTGTTTGATTTTTACATTTTCCATCGCTTCCAAATGTCCTGTGAGATAAAATATTACAATTAAGATTTTAAAAAAGATTACTTTCATGCTGACATTCTTCATGCTCATTGTAAATGCTACACAATAACCTATGGTGTTGATAAATCTTCACTCTCTCCAGGGATCAAGTAATACAGAAATACATAGAATTAAATATATAACCAATACACACTACATACATACACAGAGTAATTAGTTATCAGTCTAGATAGGAGTCCTACCCATTTTTTCTCTACATTTACATACTTAGATGAATACCTTCACACATATTGCTTATTTTTCAAAAACATACTTTAGATCATCACAGCTATACATTGTTCAGTAACCTGCATTGTTTTTAAATTCAATTTCTGTATTTTACAATAGTCTTAGCAGTCTTTCAATACAATACATATAGAACTACCTTATTCTGGCATAGCATTCTAAATTGTGGCTATCTTATTGTTTACTTAACCATATCTTATTTATGAACCACTTATTTAATGAAAGTGTACATTTGCATTTTATTAATATTTGTTCAAAAACTTTTTTGGCTGAATTATTCCTTTAGAATAATCAAAGAATTACTGGTTCAAGCATTTGCTGGTCGATATGTATTATCAAATTGCTTTCCAAAAGCACCATACCAATTCACATCCCCACTAATTAACAGTAACCCTAACCCAGCAGGGCTTTTTTAAATCTGTGAGCAAAATAACCTTACTATTTTGATTGCTTATAAAGAGACTGAAATTTTTCTATCTCCCTTTGAATGTTTTATTGGAAAAGGGTGTTAAATCTTATCCAATCACCCACTGCTGCTATTGAAGAGATCATATTCTTTTCCCCATGTTAACTTACTGGTCACTTAATGCATACATTGAATTTATTGAGTAATGCAATATGTTCATTCCTGTGACAAACCTTAATTCTGAAAGATTATTCTTTCCATGACTATCCCAATTCAATCTGGTAGGAAGGCCCTTAACTTGCGTATGTGCAAGACTGCCTACTGTGAGTACTGTCATCAGACTTCTGATCAGATTCAGATGGGCCTCTGGTCCCAGACGGCATAGGGGCCTCTATCAAAGGCTTCCCTTTCAATGTCCTTTCCTTATTTTCAAATGTGGCAATCCATTCTCTCTACGTATAGGCCCCTCGCTGCCCTGTCCCTGGGACCTATCTGGCCCCTTGGCCGATCTGTGTCCATCCTCTTCCGGGCCAGGTTCCAGGTGGGCGGCAGCCGAGATTCCGAGGCGGTGGGGAACTCTGCCACCCCAGGACAGCAATGCTGGTGCCCCGAGGGAAGAATGCAGGGGTCGCTCCTGGGGCCGGCGCCCCTGGGAGAGCCCCTCCTTCTACCTCGACGTTCGTGCCCACCCACTCCGACCCCACTCACCGTGCGCAACTAAGAGGCCCGACCTGAGTTAACTGGCGCTGCAGCAGGAGTCTGGCGGACCGGGACCTCAGCTCGTACCGGCACAAGAACAATGACCGGACAGGAAGTGCCTCGGGATGGGCTTCCGGCTCCCCAAGTCGCCAGGCCGGCCTCTCTAGGAATCTCGGAGGTGCTTTCCTCTCGATGGGTGTCCAATGTTGCCCCGGACCAGAGATGCGGCAGAAGCGCTTAGGCGGATTGTTCCGGTGGAAGCTCTAAGTGAGCCGCAGGGAGGGGCGCATCCCCAAGCAGAGATGGGACACTCAGGCGAGGCGTGCACCCAAGAGCCTGAAGCTACAAAGCATTAATCTGTAGAAAGCCCTGATAATTTCCCCTCAAATGTTTTATTTTGAAAATATCTAAGAATACAAAAAAGTTGAAGTATGTCACATTGAATACCTGTATTTTCCATCTAGACTCAACAATGAACATTTTGCTATGTTTGCCTGATCTCTCTTTACATACTTCAAATCATTTTTTTTTTAAGTTGTAAACATCAGAACACTTCATTCCAAATACTTCAACATGCATCCGTTAAGATTAAGAATATTCTTCAAACTACCACCAGCATCACAGGTAAAAAAATTAACAATAATTCCCTAATTCCATCTAATAACCAGTCATATTCAAATTTCCCAACTGTCCTAAAACATATATTTTGTAACTTTTTTTTCAAATCAGTTTCACACACTTCATTTGGTTATGGCTGTTTAGTTTTTTGCTGTCATTGTTGGTTTTTACTTTTTATTTTGAAATGACAGATTCACAGAAGTTGCAAAGATAGCACCCTTCACCCACTTTCCCCTCATGGTCACATCTTACATAACACCAAAAAGAAAATCAACATTGGTAAAATATGTGTGTATACTTTTGCCATTTTTAGCATCTGTAGATTTGTGTAACCACCACTACAATCAAGATACACAAGTGTTCCATCACCACAAAGACCTTTCTGGTGCTACCTCTTTATAGTTACATCCAACCCTCTCCCCATTTTCCCTCCCACCATCCCTAACCTGTGGCAACCATTAATCCATTTTTCATCTCTACAGTTTTAACATTTTGAGAATGTTATATGAATGTTTTCATATAGAATATGGCCTTTTGTGATTATTTTCACTCAGCATTAATTCCCTTCAAAATTTGAGTTGTTATGGATATCAATAAATCAGTCAATTTTATTGTAGAGTGACAAGTATTTCATGGTGATACATAAACCACAATTTGTTTTAACCATCTAAGGAAGGATATATGGGTTGCCTACAGGTTTCGAGCATTACAAATAAAGCTGCTATGAACATTCATATACAGGTTTTTGTGTGAACCTAAGTTTTCATTTCTCTGGGATAAATGCTCAGGAGAGCAATTACTGAGGCATATGACATGTACATGTTTGGTTTTACAAGAAACTGCCAAATTATATTCCAGACTGGCTGTACCACTTTACATTCCCAGCAATGTCTGAGATCCTGTTTCTCTGCATCCTTGCCAACAGTTATCGCCATAAAAAAATTTAGCTATTCTGATAGGAATGCGGTGATATCACATGATTTTACTTTGCATTTCCCTCATGCCTAATGATGTGAACATCTTTTCATTTGCTTATTTGCTATCTATACTTCAGTGAACTGTTTATGCCTTTTGCTTATTTTCTAATTGTATTTACTTATTACTATTAAATTTTGAAAGTTCTTTATGTAGTTTACATACCACTCCTTTGTTGGATATGATTTGCAAATATTTTCTCCCAACATGTAATGTCTTCTGTTCTTGTAAAAAGGTCTTTTGCAGAGCAAATTATCTTAATTTTGATGAGATCCAATTTAACATTTGTTTTTTCCCTTTTAAGGAGCATGCGTTTGCTGTCATCTGAGCCTTCTTAGCTCAGTCCTAGATCCTGAAGTTGTTGGTTTATTGCCTATGGATAACCAATTGCTCCAACAACATTTGCTGAAAAGGCTATACCTCCTCTATTTAATTGCTTCTGCCCCTGTCAAACATCAATTGGGCATTTGTGTGAGTCTATTTTTGGCTCTTAGTATCTAATGGCTTAGTATTATCTTCTACAAACAAGCCCCCTCATCCTCATTTTATACCTTTCATATGGAATTTTTCATACATACACAAAAGCAGAGAATGGTATAAACTCACAGTAGACTCACACAGCTTGAACAATTATCACTCCCCTCTCGAAGAATCCAGGGCAGCTTTCTTATATAATATCCCACGTTCTGGATTTGTCTGTTTCTCATGGTGTCTTTTATTTGTTCCTCTCTCTCCTGTATTTCCTGTAACCTGGCAATGAGGTCCAAGAAGCTTAATTCAATTCAGGTTGAACATTTTTTCAGCTTAGTACATCACAGGGGGTGGCACATTATGTGGACCGCCTCAGTGTAAGAAACATTACATTTTGTTACTTGGTGAAGAGGTAGATGATAGCTTTCTCCATTGTTAAAGTACATATGTTCATTGTAAATATTATACAAGGATGAAGAATTTTCATATTCATTATCTCATGAGAACTTTGTGAGGTAGATATTCTTCCTCCTGTTTAACAGATGAGGAATTCAAGGCTCCAAGAACTGAAGAGATTTTTTTTTCCAAGGCAAGTGGCAAAACCTGACCCATCCAGGTCTTAGGCCCCTTCCGGTTTTCACTCTTGGCTACCTTTCATTCTTATTTATTTTGAGATGGAGTTTCACTCTTGTTGCCTAGGTTGGAGTGAATGGCACCATCTCCGCTCACCGCAACCTCTGCCTCCTGGGTTCAAGTGATTCTCCTGCCTCAGCCTCCCGAGTAGGTGGGATTACAGCCACACGCCACTACACCCAGCTAATTTTGTAATTTTGGTAGAGACAGTATTTCTCCATGTTGGTCAGGCTAGTCTCGAACCTCAGGTGATCCATCCTGATCTCAGGTAATCCGCCCGCCTTGGCCTCCCAAAGCACTGGGATTACAGGAGTGAGCCACCGTGGCCAGCCACTACCTTTCATTTTAATGAGGAACCAGCCCCCAAGGAACTGTGGGGTTAAATTAATAACATTTATTATAATAAAAACACCACTTTGACATTATTAAAAAACACAATCTTGGTATTCAGGTATTATTTATAGTCCAGCTGCAGAAACGGAACTTTGAGAATTAGAACATACCAACTCAAGAATATAGACTGAATTAAACCTACAAATGTACTCAAGGGCACAGAATGGTTCACAGGGGTAATGGGCACTGACTACCTGCATTGGCTTAATCAGTGAAGAGCTTGGCTCTATGTGAAAAGTTTATGTTCCAGTAAATTTAGTGCTGGCACAGAAGCTTGTTTCATGAGTAACAGGCTATCATTTGACAGCAATGATGAAATCCTGATTAGAATTGACAATGACTGTGGCAGGGATCATCAACTCAGCTGCTGAGTCAAAGACTTTTTTCCCTATGCCAGGGAAAGCAGGGTAGCACTGTCCTTCCATTTTGCCACTCTACATCTGTTAAATTTCAAATTCAAAAGCTGGAAAATAAATTGTTTTCCTTGGCATCACTGTTAATGGCTGGCCATAACATTTTTTTTCATACACGCAAACTAGATATATAATCTATTAACTCCCTTATTTTTAAAGGTAAATTAAGAAAAATTATTCTTACAGCACTAAATTCCAATTGGCTAGTCACCATACTTCCTCTTATAAAAATGAGTATCTTCTAGGTTCATGGAATCCCCCTTATTCTAACATTGACTTAATATACAAACTTACATGATACCATGTTCTAAGCTTTGACTATACCTCTTTTATTCAACTTTTATCGACAACTGAATGATTTCAAAAAGTACTTTCACAAAGATCCTTTCCCTTAACCCTCACAACAACCCTGTGAGGTAGGTATTCTGTCAACATTTGAGTGACAGAGAAACTGAGCTTTAGAGGCTGACTTAATAACATCACATGACCATTATGGGACAGCCAGGAATAAAAGCTCAGTTCTGATTCCAAATCCAGTGCTCTTTTTAGGTTGTCCTCAACAGCAGACTCTTGTCCACCCAACTCCACACCTGACATCCTGGATCATACTGTCTGTTCAGGTTTTCTATAGTAGTGATGCTATCTTTAAAATGCATACTGTACATATTTTCAAAAACAATGTCTGCTTATTGTTATATTAATAAATTTATTTTATTTTAATAGAGATGGGGTCTCCCTATGTTGCCCAGACTTGTCTTGAACTCCTGGGCTCAAGTGATCCTCCCACCTCGGGCTCCCAAAGCGCTGGGACCATAGGCATGAGCCACTGCACCCAACCCATGTCTACTTTTTAATACAAAGATATTGTTGTTGTCATTTACAACTATGTTATTAGATTTGGATTATGTTTTTGTAGACTTTAAAGTTCAGATTTTTTTTATTCAGATGGAGTTTCGCTCTTGTTGCCCAGGCTGGAGTGCAATGGCGCGATCTCAGCTCACCACAACCTCCACTTCTTGGGTTCCAGCGATTCTCCTGTCTCAGCCTCCTGGGTAGCTGGGATTACAGCATGCCACCGTGCCAGGCTAATTTTTGTATTTTTAGTAGAGATGAGGTTTCACCATGTTGGTCAGGCTGGTCTTGAAATTCCGACCTCAGGTGATCTACCTGCCTCGGCTTCCCAAAGTGCTGGGATTACTAACTTTCTTCTATATGCAACTCTTTGCCTATTAAACAGTAAGTCATAAACTTTTTCCTTAGAAGAACCATATATCTTTTGTCCAACAGTTACTTAAGTAGGCAGGGATTCTATTCCATTTTACATATGACACTAGATTTTCTGAATCTCAATCTTGGACTCATTGGTGTTTTGTAGCCAAGAGAATTCCTCAATGGTATGGATATTCTGTTGAAGATGAAAGTTGGAAGTCTGAGAGAATTCTTTTTCAGATGCATCACATTCACAAAGTTTTTCATCTGTATGGATTTTCTGATGTACAGTAAGGTTTTTTCTTTGCCTAAAAACTTTACTACAATCATTACACCCATAGGGTTTCTCCCCTGTGTGAATTCTCTGGTGGCCAACTAAATTCCTCTTAGAAGTAAAGGATTTCCTACACTTCTCACACTCATAAGGTTTTTCCCCAGTGTGCATTCTCTGATGTACAACAAGGTTTTTATTCTGACTAAAGTCTTTCCCACACTCATTACATTTATAAGGTTTCTCTCCAGTGTGGATTCTTTGATGTACCATAAGATTTCTACTAGAGGTAAGGACTTTCCTACATATATGACATTCGTAGGTTTTTTCTCCACTGTGAATTCTTTGATGTTCAATCAGGTTTCTGTTGTAGGTAAAACCTTTTCCACATTCATTACATGCATAGGGCTTCTCGCCAGTGTGGATCCTCTGATGGGCTATAAGGTTTGAGCGGTAACTGAAGATTTTCCCACAGTCATTGCATTTATAAGATTTTTCCCTCGTGTGAATTCTCTGATGTCCAATGAGGCTTTTCTTCAGAATGAAGCATTTACCACACTCATCACACTCATAGGGTTTCTCACCACTGTGGATTCTCTTGTGTTCAATGAGGTTTCTGTTTGAACTGAAAGCTCTTCCACACTCACTACATTCAAAGGGTTTTTCTCCGGTGTGGATTCTCCGATGTACAAGCAGGCTTGAATTGTAACTGAAAGCCTTCCCACAATCCTCACATTTGTAGGCTTTCTCTTGTGTATGGAGTTTCTGATGGACCATAAAACTTTTGCTCATAATAAAGGTTTTCCCACACTCTCTGCATTCATATGGCTTCTCCCCATTGTGGAGTCTCTCATGGTCAATGAGGTTTCTGTTCGAACCAAAGACCTTGCCACAATCTTTACATTCATAGAGATTCTCTCCAGTGTGGAACCTTTGATGTAAAATGAGGCTCTTCTTCAGAATAAAAACTTTCCCACATTCATTACATTCATAGGGCTTCTCTCCATTATGGAGTCTCTGGTGGTCAAAAAGGTAAGCACTCTGAGTGAAGGCTTTCCCACATTCAGTGCATTTATAAGGTTTCTCTCTGCTATGCATCCTCTTATGGTCAATGAAGTTTGACTTAGAACTGAAAATCTTCCCACATTTTTTACAACCAAAGGTTTTCTTTTCTGTGTGGACTCTCTGATGTAATAGGAGGCTTTTACTTCTAATGAAAACTTTTCCACATTCTTTACACTTGTAAGGGTTCTCTGCACTGTGGAGTCGCTGATGGTCAATAAGGTAAGTGGTCTGAGCAAACGTCTTTCCACATTCATCACATTTATAGGGCTTTTCCCCAGAATGGATTCTCTGGTGCAGAATGAGGCTCTTCTTCAGAATGAAAGCTTTCTGACACTTATTACACTTATAAGGTTCTTCCCCTTTGTGGAGCCTCTGGTGGTCAATGAGGTAAGCATTCTGAGAGAAAACTTTCCCACATTCATTACACTTATAGGGTCTCTCCCCTGAATGGCGCCTTAGATGTATAATTAGGCCTGAGTGCCTATAGAAACCCTTTCCACACTCCTTACACTTATAAGGTTTCTCCCCAGTGTGGATCCTCTGATGGTTTAGAAGGTAGGCACTTTGAGAAAATGCTTTCCCACATTCATTACATTTATAAGGTTTCTCCCCTGAATGGTTCCGTAAATGCATTAGAAGGCTCGAACGCTGAATAAAGCCTTTTCCACATTCCTTACATTTATGAGGTTTCTCACCAGTGTGGATTCTCCTATGGTTTATAAGATGGGAGATTTTATTAAAATGTTTACAACATATATCACATTTATAAAACTTCTTTCCTTCAGTACCTATTAAACTTTCAGAAATAGCTGAACCGAAAGTCAAGCTTTCTCCAAATTCCTTCCACTTCTGGCCTTGCTTCTCTGGTGGAGTCCTTTTCTTCTTGTTTTGTTCACAAAGAGAAACTTTCCTCACTGTATCTGCCCTTTCCTTTGTTTCCTTTTCCCAATGACTTGCCAAAACTTGCCATTCACACTCTTCTTCAAAATCAAGAACCTGGGGAACACTTCCTTGAAGTCTTTTTGATGTTCCTTTCTGAGAGTCTGCTCTTTGAGAACTACTTAGCTTTGATGTCACCTCCTCATTCTCGGTCATGGTCTCCCATTCTGGTAAAAGGAATTAAAAATGCAAATGTTACCACATCCCTGTGTTTGGGAGAACAGGATCTTCACATGACTTCAAAACATTCTAGGAAGGCACACTTTATATGCATACAAAAAGGAAAAACTTTTCATTAAATGAAGGTACAAGGAAGAATGCTACATGGACAAGAGGTTGTAAATGGATTAACATATAACTCACTTTGAGACATTTTTAAGTGCTTTGTCTTCAGGAAGCAGATGGAAAAATACAAATACAAATAATGCTGAGAAAACAGAAGCAAGGAAGAACCAGAGAGAAAACACAGGATCTTATGTAGGTCATTCATATCTAAGGAAGTTGGATAGAACAGCAAGAACCATTTGGATTAGAAGTAACTTTCTTTTTTATTTTATTCATGTTAGAAAGATGGAAAATTTAAGGGAAGGAAAGTATATGTAAGGACTCTGAAAGGTAATTTTTAATTTTTGAAAATCAAAGGCATGAATACTTTTTAACTGGTTGAAAGCAATTAACCAACCGAAAAGAAATCCATTGAAAAGCAACTTAATTCTTAGAATTCATATATAACATCCTACTCCATTTAAAGTTAAGAAATGGAAATTTTTAAATTCATTTTAAAAAATCAGGTCTGTTATGAACTCCCTTAATTACACATAAAAGGTAAGAGAAGAAATACCGAAGGAAAAAATACACAGAATAAAAGTATGAAAACTTCTGTAAGATGGTGAGGCTGAACTAATCTCCGAGGTTCCTTTCTACTCCAATGTTCTCAAATATTTTAAAAATATGAAATAATTTTTATGAAAATGTTTTGGAATTTTACTGTCAAACTACCCAAGTGTGAGAGAAATCATGAGCCAGTTCCCCCAAACTGTCTAATAAGTTATGTGAATAACAGTAACATCATCTCCTCTTTGAATATAACCATATTTTTCTTCTATCTAAATAGAAGACAAGAGTGCAGCCATTTTATTTCATTATAAATTTCTATAAGTTTATGAAAGGGTAAGGATAGCAAAGATCCAATAAATATTAACTTGAACTACAGACATTCTTAGTCAGGCCCTCATATCTCATCTCAACTGCCCTTCTCTCTAGGACTCAGGCAGGACTGCCAATCACACTACCCAACTGCCTGGCTGCAGGGATGGGTATGTGTCTTAGGCCTATCCAGTGCTGATACTTCACTTTCCTTATTCACAGTGAGGTTTCAAAGACAAGGAGAGGCCAAGGATGGTGGCTTATGCCTGTAATCCCGGCACTCTGAGAGGCCAAGGCAGGCGTATCACTTGAGGTCAGGAGTTCGAGACCAGCCTGACCAACATGGTGAAACCTTGTCTCTACTAAAAATACAAAAATTAGCTGGATGTG